CTGTGCAGGGAGGCTGGAGGTTTTTCACAGCGGCTCATGGGGGACAGTGTGTGATGACTCCTGGGATATTAAAGATGCCCATGTGGTGTGCAGACAGCTGCAGTGTGGAGTGGCCCTCAGTAACCAGCAGGTACCAGCCTGGTTTGGTCCTGGTTCTGGACCCATATGGCTGGATGAGGTGGAGTGTGAGGGGAATGAGACGTCCCTGTGGAGCTGCTCTTCTTCAGGCTGGGGAAAACATGACTGTCAACACAAGGAGGACGTAGGAGTCGTGTGCTCAGGTAAACATGCTGCAAAATTGTTTACATTTAATTGAAATAAACAGTTTTACACATTTCAACATTCATGTGTCCATAGTGTTCATATTTTCCAATTTTGTGATTTTAAAATGTAATTTTTTTTCATGTAGAATTTAAAGAGATCAGGTTAACTGAGGGCTGTGAAGGGAATGTGGAGGTTTTCTACAATGGATCCTGGGGAAATGTGTGTTACAACAAGATGGACGGAGACACAGTGAGTCTGATCTGTCAAGAGCTGAACTGTGGAAGATCTGGTGTTTTGTCTGCTTCTACACCAAGGGTGAAATCAGCTCCTAACTGGCTGGATAAAGTTACATGTCGACCACATGATTCAAATCTGTGGCAGTGTCCATCTGCAGCCTGGGGACAGAATGACTGTGGTGAAGATGAATTGGCCAAAATCATCTGCTCAGGTAAAACAAATACTTTTTCCAACAGTAAACAATACAGTTATCCTTTAGAATTAATGCTTTGAGAAGTTATATTGAATACATATTTTATAATATTTAATTGTTACAGAACAGGAGAGTCCTGAGTCTCCTCGCAGCTCTCTGACATGCTCCACATCTCTCCACCAGAGACAGTGTTCAGGTAAGTTCATTTAATGGAAAAACATAAAAATTATGAATGTTCTATGCAACCCAAGGTAATGGTGTTCTGATATGAGGCACCAGCAGGATTTCATGTTGGAATATACAGTACAAATGATCACACATACTCCTGTGCAGACGCTGCTGTTCTGACAGTACTCTGCTGGTAATTAATGTGTCCTTTTTTGTGGTGTGTGTGTGTGTGTTTTAGATCATGTTGCTCTCAGACTGAGTGGAGGGGAGGGCCGGTGCTCTGGGAGGCTGGAGGTGTATCATAACGCTGTGTGGGGCTCAGTCTGTGATGATCAGTGGGACATCAGCGATGCTCAGGTGGTCTGCAGGCAGCTGGGTTGTGGAGCAGCACTGAGGGCTGATGGGAATTCAGTCTTTGGTGCTGGTGAAGGTGTTGTGTGGCTGAACAGAGTCGAGTGCAGAGGGAATGAGATTCACCTGTGGGACTGTCCTCTCTCCCTGAAAAACCACACTGACTGCTCCCACAAAGAACACGC